ATCCATTCACCCACCCATCCATTCAACCACCCACCCATCCATTCACCCACCCACCCATCCATTCACCACCCACCCATCCATCCATCCAAATAGACAATCAGAAGATATATTTGAATGGGACATCCAGACCTGCACAGGTAATCCTCGACTTACGACCACAGCTGAGCCCCAAATCTCTCTTCCTAAGTGAGATATTTGTTGAGTTTTACAACCTTTCTTGCCACAGTGGTCAAGGGAATCACTGCAGCTATTGCATTATTAACAACTGGGTTGTTAAGGGGATCTGGCTTCCCCGTTGACTTTGCCTGTGTCAAGAAGGTCACGAAAGAGGACCATGTGATCCCAGGAAGCTGCAACCAACATATAAATACATGCCAATCGCTATGAATCTGAATTTGGATCATGTGACCCTGGGGAAGCTGCAATGGGCGTTAAGTGTGAAAAATGGTCATAAATCACCTTTTTCAGTAGTGTAACTTCAAACGGCCACTGAACGAAGGGTTGCAATTCGAGGCCTACCTGTGTAGATTGTGCTGACCTTACTTGCACCTCAACCTTGAAGAGCCGAGTTGTAAACAGAGCAACAGGTGGCTAAGCCTTATGACTTTTTGGAGGGCACACAATCACAAGGCCCCGTTTCTCAAGACCTTCTTAAAAGTACAACATCGCGTATTCAGCCCCTTAAAGGACTGCTGTGCTCCTCTGGTTAACACCACAGACTATTTGCTTTGAAGCGCAACGTGAACGGAACGGCTTGCACTGCCACAAATAAATGAAAGTTTCAACACAACCCAGAAAGCTTATAGAGTTAAAGGATTTACAACAGTTCATGCACTGACCGTTCAAAGTTACCGTTTCCCTGAAAATACGACCTGCCCTGAAAGTAAGTCCTAGCTTGATTTTTACATGTGAGCCCAATATAAGCCCTACCCCCAAAACAAACCCCAATTAAGATCCTGCCCACTCCAGAGTGCACGGATAAAAATTAAACCAGGGTGGGGATAGTGGGGTGGAGCTGCCCTACTACTTACCTTTGGACAGTTGTAGCCAGGCCTCGCACACCTCGACACTTGCCTCGCCAGCCCATTTCTTCTGCAACCAGCAAGGCTAGCAAGGCTTTCCTGAAGGTTTCTGTAGCTGATAAGGAAGCTCCGGATCGATCCGGAGCTCTGTTATCGGCCGCAGAGGCCTTCAGGAAAGCCTTGCCAGCTGCGAAAGAAATTCCTGGAGGCCTCTGACAGCAAAAAGGAGGCCGGGGGCGACGTGTGCAAGTGACACCCCCCCGTAAATAAGACCTGGTACCCTTTTTGGTGGCAAGAAATATATATAAAACATGGCAGGATGGCACTGTAAAATGTGACCTTTGACCATTTTTCACACTTACAACCTTTGCAGCATCCCCATGATCACGGGATCAAAATTCACACGCTTGGTTCATATTTATGATGGTCGCAGCATCCCGGGGTCAGGTGATCCCCTTTTTGAGACCTTCTGACAAGCAAGTATGAGTGTCGGAGGGCTGTGGCTCTGGCTAGCCTTGCAAAAGACTTTGAAGACCTGCTTTTTCTCCCAATCGATGGAAAAAGATAAAAGAGGATGGCACACTGTTGCTTTAAATGTTTTGTGTTTTATAACTTAAGGAGGTGACCAGCCGCCAAGGAAAGCCAAGGGAAATTATCAAAACCATCAAAAAGCAAAAGTTAGAATATTTCGGACGGGTGATGCGATACCCAGAAAAATACGGCCTACTTCACTTAATCCTCCAGGGAAAGGTGGAAGGCAAGTGAGGTCCAGGCAGAAGAAGAACATCATGGCTTCAACATCTAAGGGATTGGTTTGGACAAAACTCAGCAGCACTTTTTCATGCGGCTAGGAGATCGCCAACATGATCGCCAAACCACAAATATTTTTGTTGGGCATAATGTCGGAGGGCTATGATAAAGGGACCATATACCTAGTCTTGCCTGTTATTGACAGCAGTGAAGATTGTATTTGCACAATACTGGGAAAAAAACGAGAACACTCCATCAGATGAGGGTGTAATTTGGAAAATATTGGATTGTGCAGAGATGGACAGATTAACATTAAAAATAAAGGACAAAGAGGATACAGGATATTTACTCAACATGGAATAGATTTTATGAGTGGTTAGAGATAATAGACATTAGATGAAGAAAGATTATGGCTATGTAAGAACTAAATATAAAAAATGGTTTATAATGCTAAATATGCCAATATAACCAACAGAATTACAAATAAGCTAATATAAAGAGAAATTCAGTTAAAACTATTCTGTTATACCATTACTATTGTTATTAGTATATATGTTACTATTTCTTTTTCTTTTCTGTAGATATGCTCTGACAATACACTGTATTCAAAGTGTGTGTGTGTGTGTGTGTGTGTGCGTCTGTGTGTGTACATACATACATGATCGCCAACATCCGATGACAGATAATGGCACAAGAAGAGATGTTTTATCCAGTTGAGTTTTATAATGTTTAAAATGATTTTACGCAGGAAGTATAAAACTTAGAGACACTGGTGTCACGACTGTTCCACGTTACAATGAGACTGAAAACAAGTCCTTACATATGACCATTTCTCACACTGATAACTGTTGCAGCATCCAAAATGTATTTACCATACAGGTAGCCCTCGACTTACAACAAGTCATTTTGGACCGTTCCAAGTTACAACGGCACTGAAAAAAGTGACTTATGACCTTTGTTTCCACACTTAACGATCGTTGCAACATCCCGGTGGTCACATGGCCTCCTGCAGCCCTCTGCCAACAAGAATGGAGCTTGGGGAGGCCACACACAGCTCGTCCGTGCTTCATTTTCAGCCGCGACAGCCTCCTGCCAGCAAAAACAGAGCCCGAGCCAGCCGCGTACGACCTCTCCAAACTGTTTTTGTTGGCAGAGGGCTGCAGGAGGCTGTTGCAGCCAAAAACAGAGCCTTGATGAGCGACATCGATGACCTTGATGGCCACGCCCACCCCAGCCAAGCTCACCTGCGGGCCCCGAGGTCAAACACAACCCTGATGTGGCCCTCCATGAAATCGAGTTTGACACCCCTGGTGTCAGGATTCCAGCGATCGCCCCAATTTAATCATAAGCCTCGAGGGCAAACTTCGAAAGATTTATTACGAGTGACATGCCAGCATGACCTGTATGAAGCCGACTCTCTGAGACACGTAGGATATGTTTTACAAGTTGACACCTGGTCTAGATGATTTACAAGGTCCCTTCCAACTCTTGTTAATCCGAATCTTAATTTTGGATTGAGATTTGCCCAGCGGTGGTCGAAAGATGGACAGCTATCTAAATGGTTTAAATAAATAAACATTTAAGGGCTAAGTAGAATGCTGGTCAGGTGCCTGCTCCCAACTCACCCTTGCCCCCAGTGCCGTATCCCTGGATTTCTCAAATTGTTCTTTGAGAAGATCAAAGGTCTTTGAGGAAGGACCTTGTCAGCTTCTTCTCTTGCGCAAAGCAAAGACCTTTGATCTAATCCAACATTCATCTGTCTTACGTCACAGGCAAGGTTGCCCTCTCTTTGCAAGTGTGCTCTGGTCCTCTGAACACCTCTCAAGGATTAGGAAAACTGCCCAAAAGCTGCCTTTTAACAATACAGGACATCTTAAAGCTAATAATAAATAATGAACCCACATAAAAAATTTTATTAATCAAATAAAAATTGGTGTCTTCGAACAGCTGGGGAAAATGCTGGTGTGTGTGTGTGTGTGTGTGTGTGTGTGTGTGTGTG